GACATTGCCAAGAAGAAAAAGCTGTGTGATTACACAGGGAGCAGATGGATCATCACAACCAAGAGAGGGCTTGTTTAGCCAAAACTACAGTGAGATGTCATCAGTCAGACTGAGGGGCTTCTCATTAGTATCAGCCTTGTATCAGCTGCTGTGAAAGGACAATGTTTTTTCTTAACAGACATATCAAACCCTGGGCAGTAAATCTGTGTGATTTTTTTTTCTGCTGTCCAGACAAGAGCAATTCATAATTGTCCCCCTAAGTTAAACATTCAGATAACCCAAAGAATAAGACTTTCATAAAACAAAGCTTAGAAACTTCAGCCAGACGAGTCTTTCCGTTAATATTTGGAAAATATTGTCAGAAATCATCATGCATCAAACATGATGATCCTCTAAGAGTTTATTTTCAGTATCAAACATCACCAAACATAAACTTCTTTTAAAAAAATCTCACTAGAAGTTTTGTCTTTCAGACAAGATATAAACCCTAGATCCTGACCTTTTGTGGTTACTGACAGGCCCTTGGTATTTTCCATGGAGCTGCATGGCTAACTCAGGTTTCCTGATCAAATTGCTCATTCTTTTTTACTATCTCTGTTTTTCTTGTGGTTTCAGGCTAAAATAGACAGTGTTTTTCCTTCAGTTCTTGTCTTGCTCAACTGTGCTATGCATTCTTAGGCAGCTGCCATGTCACCCGCAGCATCAAATAGGCTGCAAACTGAAGGACTAAGGTGCAGCCTGTGATGCTTTCAGATCTTGCCAAATTCACCTTTTAACTGCCACCAGCTCTGCTTTAGGCAGGCAGAGCTTAGGTGACACCTGTGTTTCCCTCCAGCCCTGTTTTCTGTGACTCTGGGAGACCTTTGAGGGTGCGAGCACTGCATCCATGCAGCGGCTGGTGTTGTGTCTGGGAAGCAGGTGCTGCTGGAAGAGGTTTGGGTGACAAGAGTTGAGTCACAGCCAAAATGTCACCCAAATGTCACAGCCCTTCGCATTCCCAGGGCTGGCCTTGGCTCACTGTGAGCCAGAGCAGCTCAGGGCACTGGTGGGATCCTGGATGCTGGGGCTGTGTTCAGGTAAGGGAGGGTGACAGTGTTGGGACAGGACAGTGCTGAGGAGGGTCAGTAACCTGGAGCAAAGACAACCCTCCTCTGACGACATATCTCCAGTGGATGCTCCACACAGTTTCCTTGCAAACTCCTGGTTGTTGCTGGGACCTTCCCAAAGATATTGTGCAGCAAGAGCTTCTTACTGCTCTGGTTAATCGGAAAGAGTCTGGGTCATACAAGGGAGAGTCTTTCAGCTTAGACGTTGGGCACATCAGCAGGACTCAGCGCTGTCGGCTGCTCTGGGGAGAACCTGAAGAGCTGCCACTGCACCTGTCTTGCACCAGTGCTTTGTTCACATCCAGAACTTGACTTGTCACCACCCAAAACCAGTTGTCATGGGGACCTGCTGCTACTCCCCAGGGCTCATGCTAAAGATTTGTGAGTCCCACTTCCTACCTCCACCCCAGGGAATAACACGAGGGCAGAACTTGCTCTCCATCTCCTGCGCAAGACTAGAAAGGTTGCGGCCAGTGATGCCTGCATGTGTGGAGGCCCCCAGCCCTCCCTTAATGCCCTCTCCCAAAGCCAGAGACATCTGGAGGCATCTCCCAAGCATGCACTTCACCTGAACAACCTCCTCTTGTCCATAGCCCCAGCAAAGTCAATAAAAACACAACTGAAAACTTTAGTGTGTGTGTGGGATCCAGCTGAGAAAAACAAACCTCTCTGTCTCACTATGGTTATGAAAGCAACGATGTCGCCTGAAAAGTATGTAGCAGCAAGCAAAGACAGCTGCCTGTGTGGAGGGGTGAGCAGAGGAGGTGGGCATCAGCTCAAATACAACTCAAAATCAGGGGAAATTATTTCTGATTAATGTAATTACTTCGGCTCCAGCCCTGATCAATACGAGGAGCTAAAATGCTCGTGAACTGGCCGAGAATGCGAACTATGCAGAATGATTTGTAAAAGGTGTTTGGCTGTGTCATGCTGCCCACAGGGCAGGGTGACCTTCTGCCGTTGGGGGTGGGAGAGGAGCAACCTGCTAATTCAAAACTGGTGTCCCCCAATGAGAATCCCCCCCCCGCTACCCCTCTGAAGGAACAGGGAGGCAGCTGCTTCATGCAGGTCCTGAGCCTAATTAAGAGCAACCAGCCTGCTTGGCTGGGCTTCTTTTGTGCTCTGACCACAAAGCAAGAGCCAAGACTGGCCCTTTACAGCCAGGCTGGCTTATGCTAGAGACCCACAGGACCATGGGGACAGAGCTGGAGGGGATGGTGTCCTCAGACCTCATGCCAGCTGAGCCTGAGCTCTTAAGCATGGTTTCAGCCTGCACTGGGAAGATGCTTCCTCCTCAGGGATGTCGCTATGTCTTGGCGAACTGCACCAACAAAAGCAGAGGAGGAGGAAGCACAGCTGGGGAGATTCCTTTCAGCAAGCAGTGCCTGCAGTCATCGGGAGGTGGCAGGAATTTCCTTGTGAGAAGGCAAGCAGAGGCTGGCGGATGGTGTCTTGGGGAAAGGGGGTCTCCTGTGGACTGGTGGTTTCCCCAGTATGGTGAGGAAAGGGAAGGAGAAGGGCTGTGACAGTCTCATTTTTGTCGTGCTCTTCCCCAGGGAGACTGGAAAACCCCGCCATGAAAGTCTCCCAGCACCCAGGTTTCTTCTCAGGAGAGAGTCCCCAGAACCCACAATGGCAGGGAGGCAGAAATAGGAGAAGATAAGCAGAGCCCTGGGGCTGGGGGCTACCTGTGCCCTGGCACTGCAGGGCAGGAGGAGGTGGTGTGGTGAGTGCTTCACCTCCCG